TCATAATTTCATACTATTGTGTATTACTGTGTGATTATATATTTGTATGTCAGTTTAGAAAGGCTTGCTTTCATACAAATAAAGTGATAGAGAAAATATGTCACAAAAGAAGTGGATATTGCAGTCAAATATCCTAAAAACAAAACTAATAAGAATATAGAATATACATCCAAATGACATAGGAATATATTTGTAGGTAATATGTTGGCCAAGTTCAATCTAAATCAAGAGAGTTTTTTAAGCAAATACAATAAGAACTAGTAAGTTTAAACATGCCTAGCTTCACTATGGAATATGAGCACTCAACAAATTAAACATCCATATTTATATATCATGCCTTATTTAAGAATCACATAGGAAAATTCATCTCAAAGGAGTTAAAATTTGGCATCTGTTTGACATAATTTATAGAATAAATAATTGTTATTTGAATTTTCAGACGATAAAAGACTTAGACACATAAGTCTTAAGTTCTAACAAGTCCTGCATCATTTAGCAAACAGAGTGGTTTATTTTAGCTAAGATTATGAGGTGTTTCATGCATAGGGAGAAAGATAAACCTGAGTAGAGGAAAGATAAGGAAGAAGAGGGCTGGGAGGAGTGATATGTGATGAAATTATGCAGAAAAGTCACAGAGCACAATTTCTTCACTCAATTTCTTCATAGAGCCCAGGTGAACCAATTATGTCACCGGTGGTGGTTGATATGTGATGAAATTCATCGAGCACAATTATATTACAAGTGCCTCATCCAGAAAAGTCATCTTCTAAGATATTTGATTTTCTCCATTGCTCATGCCTTAATCCTCTCTATACAATCAATTGGCAGTGGTGAATTTGGTATTATCTTCCTCTCTCGACTCAAAATTTTCTTGTTTCCATCCTCTCGATTCTTGTCGTCAAAATTGCTGGAGAAACCTGCGCAATCTGCGAAGGAGATGAAAATCGGGAATGGAGAAGAACAGGAGATGAAAATCGGGAATGGAGAAGAACTGATGAGGAGAGGAGAGAGTAGAAGCCGAGAAGGTATGAAGAAATCCCAACCTGGAGTTGCATCGATTAAATTCCAGAATCGTCTCTATTTTCTGCTCTCAAAATTGGCCGCCAATCGCCGGAAGGTCGCACCCTAGACGGTACCGGACAGAAGACCAGACGAGATGTTGAGAACTGCATCGTTGTCCCTCCAACGGCGTGTCCCGATTGCCCTCCAATCACCGGTTGACGGAGATCACCGGTCGGGAGCTTCTCACCCCAAGTCGTTGATCTCATCCGGTCATCTCTTTCGAGGGAACCACAACGAACTCAAAAAAGAGGAAAGTATGAATCGACAGAGCAGGTTGGCTGAACAGATCTAAAAGTGAAATAAAAAAACAAAATTGAAAACTTAAGAGTTTAAACATGAAAAGAGAAAGTATCAAAGACATAAATGATATCTTGGACATAAAAGTGGACTAGACGGGTAATTAGCACAAAAATAAATCCCATTTTTCTTTAAGCTATTCTAACTTTTATTTTTGTATTTGAATTTTTATAAAATGTATACCAAAATTCATAACTTTTTATTATCTTTTATATGACACCAATATTGAATAAATTAAGTTAAAAAAACAAGTCTCAACTACACGAGCTTTTCGGAACAAAAAATTTTTAACTCTAAATTTATTTATTTTTACATCGGAACATTTAGCTTTTCGAATCTTAACTATTCGCAACAAAAAAACTAGAAACAAATTGATGTATAATAATAAAAGTAAGACAACAATTAAAAAGAACTTCGTTAGGTGAATATATTGACGGTACTGGATTGCAACAAAAACTGAATTGACTGAATGAATACGTATAATGTTGTGGGGAATTTGATTTATTGACGGAACTGGGTTGCGGTTAGCCTTATAAAGGTACTCCCGTAGTATATACTCCGTAATAAAGGTAACATATATATACCCGTAGTATCTGTCTATGAGCATATCTAGATTATTATTGATAGTATAATTACATGTTGAAATAATATTTAAAATTTATCTCGATAATTATCCCATTGATATAAAACTTGTACGTACAGTTGCGGTAGCACTAGCCTTTGTACCTCCCGCATAGTACATCATTTTTCATGGGTGTAACATTTTTGAGGTGAAAGATCGAAAATTGCTTTCATTTTTACCCCATGAATTGCAACTTGCAAACAGCCTTAGTGTCCACATGGGTCCATGCCAAAAAACGGATGCAAATAACTCATTTTGCTATCACGTACTTCGTAATTAGTAAGTTTGAGTCAAACCAATTGAGGGTTGTAAACGCATGTACACAGTTTGTACTCCCGGAATATTTCAAATAACTGTTTATATGTTTCAAATCTTTCAATTCCGTTAAATACTTCTTCAACAATGTGTATATACACACACACATTGTTGAAATTTAACGAATTGAAGCATATAAACAATTATTTGACACGGATTTACTTGATATTGTGTCAAATAACTCGTGTCAAAATGTTTTTGACACAGATTTGATATATCGCTGTCAAATGTTCTATAATTTTGACAAAATTCTGTCAATCTTGTGTTTTTTTCTAATGATATACTCATACCTCATATATACTCTGGAGAGGCAACAGGGGCAAGGGCCCTAGGCCCAAACTATATGAAAAAAAATTAGACCCAATATTTATGCTTTATACTAAGGTCGAGTAGCCTGAGTTTTTGGGTCTATTCACTATTTTCATATAGTCAGTAAGGTCCAGTAAAAAGAATAGTAAACAAATCATAAAAACACGGGAATCGTGAAATTGCCTATTATAGATCACTCGCTCCTAGCTTTGAAACCTGACTTGGTATTGAATTCAAAGTGATATTATTATCATTGTTATTATACAGAATTATATATGGTCATATGCAGTGTTTTAAATAGCGGTCCGCTACCGCTATAGCGGCCGCTATATAGCGGTCGCGGTAGGTACCGCTACGGGCCGTTATCAGGGTGTGATTTTCAAATCACAGAAAAATCTCGCTATGCCGCTCGCTACAGCCACTACCGGCACTTCCGGCAATATATCACGAATTGATTGATATGTAAATATGTAAATGTTGTGTGCATGATGTGAAAAAATACATTAATGGTGATGCATGAAGTGAAACTCTAAATTGAATGTACATGTGTTCACATGCATTATGGTAGCAAATATTAATAAATATCTAAATTTTAATTATTAAAACCGAATTAATAATTAATAAGGATGATTTAACTTTAATATCGGTTGACGAAAAAATGTTGACTTAACAAAACAATTTGGAACGGAAGTGATATTATTATGGATTATGCAAGTTGCGAAAGGACAACAATTTTTCATATAAGTAATATATTTTCGGGATGGGGGAGTATATCTTTTTATTGAAAATTATTTATAATATACAAATGAAATAATAATGTTCTTTGTTAAAAGTACTTTTAAGGTTGTCATATTCTTATGAGAGATTTACCTAAATAGGACCAAAACATATGAAAAACTCCATTATAGGACTACTAGTTTCATCTGGAGTAGCGTAGGACTAAAATAACGGTGGAATGTTGTGATTGCCATGCGCCTCTCTTCTTTGTTCGCCACTTGCGAGCCCTGCTACGATCTCAAGCCCTGCTGCAGGTTTCCTAGGTAAGTTCTTCTTCTTCCTCCTCCTCCTCCTCTTCTCTTCTTCTCTCCCTTTCTCTTCTCCTCTCTTCTATTTTCTTCCTCCTCATACTCTGTTTCATTTTTATTTTGATATTTTAATTTTCAGTCCACTTTCTTACTTTTGTGATTCTAAAAAATTATTTTAGATTAGAAAATTTTGGATGAGAAATTAAAACAAAGCCGCAATGATTTTCTAATCCTCCTCAAATTTCTAGTCCTCTGTGTTCTCTTTTAATTTTCAATTTTTTGGACTTGAATTAATTTATTAATTTGGATTTTTGGATTTGAATTTTATTTATTCAGCAAAATGCCACTTTTACAATAAAAGAATGTCAAAATTATTGGCTATTTGAAAAAACTGTCACGTTTGTGGCAGTATATTTTTCAGGATGGCAATATGAAAATGGCATATGTCCATAAAAAAATGTCATTCTTATGTCATTTTTATGGATTATCTAAGAATGACATAACTACTTGTTATTACAAATGACATGTTTTCCAAATGATGTCATTTTTATCTTAAACTCTCTCTCTTTAAAGATGGATATATGTAAATGCCACATTCGTGACATTTTGAGAGCAAACACATCATTTCAAAAAACAAATAACAGAGGAAGAAGAAGAAAATCCATGGAGGAGACAAAGAGAAGGAGAAGAAGAATGACTGTCATGTTGTTACATATGTAATTGCCACATTCATGACATTTTGAGAGCAAACATAACATTTTAAAAAAACAGAGGAAGAAGAAGAAAATCCATGGAGGAGACAAAGAGAAAGAGAAGAATAAATCAGAGGAGGAAGAGCTGAATTTCTTAAATTGGTGGAGTTTCCAATAAACAAATTGAATGGAGATGGAGGAAGCAGAACAAGATCAAACCTGGAGTACTTTGAGACATAAGAAGATTGAACTTGGAGACTATGTAGCAGAGAAGAACCGATAGTGCAGGATAAGAGAAGAACGGACTATATATGTGAAGAAGATCGATGATGTCAGAAGCGGTGTCTATGAGCAGGACAGAGCGCGCGGTGAGAAAAGCCAGGGCAATTTGGACATTGAATAAACGGCGTAAACTTAAATTAGGAGCGGATGACTCCTATAATGGGGAAAAAAGATGTTATGTCCTACTTTGGCTTTTTATCTGTTCTATTTAGGACAATTTCTTTATTCTTATTGGTTTAATAAGTTGTTAATGTTATAAGTGTTCAAACAAATATTCATAATGTTTTAATTTTATTAACTTTAACACCCATTAAATATATGTTTTGCGCATTTGAAAATATTTCACATTGTTGCAACCGCTAGGGGCGGCTATAGGCCGTTACAGTGCTACGGCTGCCGGCTATTTAAAGCACTGGTCATATGGATATGTTCGTTATTCGCATATCATATTATATTTTTCCATGGGGATATGTTCGCCTAGTAGTTATATAATGATTGTTGTTAATTATCACTACACAATTTATACATAATATTATCACGATCTCATCAATTGTTTAATTATCTGGCTAGGGACGATTTATTATATTGCTAGTTGCTACCTGTGCAGGCCGGACTTGGCATTAATCAGCGAAACGATGGGTCCATAGCATTAATCAGCTCTGTCTCAACTCTCCTCCACAACCCTATAAATGGACACACCATTTCTTACCTTTTCTTCATCCATCTTTCCACACTACTAATAATAAGCTTAAAAAGATGACTTCAAAGACATTTATTCTGATAGGCCTTTCTTTGGCCCTTGTTCTCCTCATCGCTTCCGAGGTCTCCGCTAGGGACCTAGCGGAGACTTCAACTAAAAATGTAGCTGAGAAAGCGAATGAGGTGGCTGAGGATCACAAACATGTAGACGGCTACGGAGGCGGCGGGCATTACGGAGGAGGCGGGCCATACGGCGGCGGAGGCGGGCATTACGGAGGAGGCGGGGGACAATACGGAGGAGGAGGCGGACAATACGGAGGCGGCGGCGGGCATTACGGGGGAGGCGGCGGACATGGAGGAGGCGGCGGCGGCCATGGAGGATGCAGATATGGATGTTGCGGTTACAGTTGCCAGAGGTGCTGCTCTTACCAGGGGGAGGCTGCAGATGAAGCTGCGGCTGGACAGCCATAATTAATTAAATAATTAATTAAAGCTTTTTGAATAATTACATAATTAATCAAAGCTTTTTAATTAATTATTTAATATGGATTCATATCTATATATATGGTCTGGCATATGATATGCTGCTAGTTGAGGAGTGTTGTGTGTGATGATTAACTAGCAAGCAGCATGCCAAGTCCATATATGAATGGTGTGGGCCCGACCCGGTCCCTAAATATGGGCCACCGTACCCTTCTATCTTCAATAACGCAGTGATGTTGTACGTACCTCTCTGCAGTATATATTCGTGATCAATAAAAACAACCACTTGTTCCTACCATTGACTACTCTTTAGTGTTTTCTTTATTCATATCGATAATTGTGAATAGAAAAATGCTTTAGGTAGACGTTTTGTGTACACGTTTTGTGTACACATGTCTGTCCTTCACAGACAAATTGTCTGTCACGGACAAATTGTCTGTCACGGACAAATTGTCTGTGAAGGACAGACATATGTACACAAAATGTGTATCATTTGTCCGTGAAGGACAGACATATGTACACAAAATGTGTACCTCTAGCAAAACCCGATATAAACAATGACTAGAAGGTTTTAATATAAACGGAAATGGTTGCCCTTTCCAAAACGGAAACCAGAAGGTTTTAATATAAACAATGACCTAATATTGTTGATTATTGTGTGTAGGTCAAGAAAGTGTACCCGATAGGCTTCTACACTTTGGTGCTTGTGAATATGCCTCATGAATTTGGATCTGATATTCAGTTGAGAAATTGCCCATAATAGAGTAAACATGGTCCAAATTCACAAATAGGCCTTACGTGTTTTTATTTAGACTGTTTACCAGATAGTTATAAAATACACAAAAACCAAATGTTTACCAGACCGGTTTAGACCATACCAGAATGGACTAGAAAATTATAGTTCTAGTAAAAACATCCCTATTATGTTTATGTTTCATTCATACATAGTACGAGTATATTGGTAAAAAAATGTTGGTCCTATTTAAATTTGTCCTATGTTTATGTCTTAATTAGGAGATTTCTCTGCTAATTAAACTCTCCTTGTACGTAATCGGGTACAATCAATTGATATGTTTTTATTATTCTTAGCCAGGCCATTTAAAATTTAAATCATGCTCACACCGTAAGGCTGGATATATTCCATTTCTGATTTGGCAAGCCAAACAAACATAATGTCATACAATTTTACTTATTTAAAAGGGAAAATCGCACTTTTAGTCCCTGAAATAGTCACGAAAATGAAATGTCAGACCCGTATTTCTGATATTGTAAATGTCACCCCTCAATTATCCAAATTGTTGTAAATGTGGTCCTTTAAGGGGTGAAATGTACTTCTCACCCACATTGTATATTTCACCCCTAAAAGGACCACATTTACAACATTTATGACAATTGAGGGACGACACTTACAAACTTGGGAATATGAGTCCGACATTTCATTTTGGTGACTATTTTAGGGACTAAGAAGGTGTTCTCTTCACCTGATCTGAATGTTCCCGATCTGAATTATTTAAGTTCTGATCTGATCTGATCTGAATTTTTCTGATCTGATCTGAATCTTTCTGATCTGATCTGAATGTTCCTGATCTGATCTGAATGTTCCTGATCTGATCTGAATGTTCCTGATCTGATCTGAATGTTTCTGATCTGATCTGAATCCTTCTAATCTGATCTGAATCTTTTTTATCTGATCTGATTTGAATATTTCTAAAATTATAATTACAATTATAATTACTATAATTATAAATGTAATTACTCATATATAATTTAAATATAATTATAATTATAATCATAATTACAAACATTATAATTATAATTACAAACATAATTATAATAGGTATAATTATTATTATACGTATTACACTAGTTATAAATATAGTTATAATTATAATTGTAATTATATTTATAGTTATATTTATTTCTATAATTTTAATTATAATTATAATATTTATTTCTATAATTTTAATTGTAATTACTCCGTATAATATGATAATAACGAAAACAAAACTAATAACAATAACAACAAAAACCATATTAGTAGTAAGAATAATAATAATCATGATAATAATAAATATCATAATAACAATAATAATAATAATCATAGTAATAATAATTGATAGAGTATATGGGCCTGGACCCCATGGCCCCCACACTCAAGTCAACGATGAACAGAAGAACACCCACGTGGTCCCCTTCGGCCAGTGGATCCGCATCGGCCAGAAACAAAACCGGCCCAGGAAACACGCCTGGACTCCCGGGGGCCGCATCGGCCCATGGACCGCATCGGCCATGAGACCGCATCGGCCAGAAGGTCCGCATCGGCCATGACTTCGCCCTGGCAGAATGCATCTCTCTACTTTATTTGCTAAGTATTGTACACAGCCCATTAGTGGCCCCATTTCGCCCAAAGAAGACATGATTATTGTAATGGGCCTCCTAAGCCCATGGCTAGGGGTCCAAATCCACATTTTTACCTATAAATAGACCCCTTGGGGCTAGTTATAGGGGGTTGAGAAATATAATTACTCACTTTCTCTCTCTAGCTCTCACTTCTCTCTAGAATTAATACTCTATCATTTGGTGCTTTCATTGAGAGCCTAGAACAGATCAAGTGAGTACCCCTCGTCGCTACTAGACGCAACAGAATGACAAGAACTAGGTCAAAGAACACCGGTAGGAATGCCCCACTGAACCAGGAAGGGCAGGGAAACGTTGCTGACAACGTTCCCAATGATCCTTTCATCCAGGATGAGGACGCTCAGGAGGTCGAGCACGCAGCGGCCGACCTTCGCGTCCAGCTCAACAAGACTGCCCCAGACGCCCGCATCGGGCTCGAGGACAGGCGCAATGCTGATCGCGCTTCGGGCCAACAGGCTTCTCACCCTGCTGCCCCCCAGATCAACCCGGCCGCACTATCGGCCATCGTCGCAAGCATTCTCCAGGACCCCAATGTAGTCAGCGCCCTCGTCGCAAAGACAGGGGAGAACAACACTCTCGTGACTGGAGAGGTCGCGACGGTGCCATCACCTCCGCCTCGGCCGCAGGGCGTCACCTTCTTCGGCAACGACGAAGGCGTTCTCGCCGTGGACACCCATTCCCATACTGCCTCTCCTACCCGGGATACACCGGCCCAACCTCGCGGTAAGATCTCAGCCTTCAACAGGCTGGGTGACATCGCGAGCCGTCGGGTACCTACGGGAAGGGTGGCGGATCGGTTGGGTGATCGCGAACCTGGATCGCCAAAGGAAAGCTTCGGGTCCGTCTCCCGGACAACGGATCGGCCCCGACCAGATAAAGGCAAAGGAAAACTGAATGATGATGATGCGCGTCACCAGATCAACCTGGCCCACGCGGCCCGGATCCAGACCCCTCTAGGTGGCACTGCGGCCAACACGGACCCAAGGGACGAGATCATTGCTCGCCTAGAAAAGCGCCTCGCTGACATGGAGGCCCGGGAGGCCACAGGGCGCGCAGCGGCTCATACATCCCAGCATCCCAACTACGATGCACTCCTTCACAAAGTCAGTGCCTTGGAGAGGGAGCTGCCGACCGACGCGACGAGCCCGTCATCCAAATACGGACCCGGACCCCCTTCTCTGCGAGGGTGCTCTCCGCCCCCATCCCAGAGAAGTATAAGGGGAATCCGATCAAGCCATATGACGGCCGCACTGATCCTCAGGAGCACTTCACCCGCTATCAGAACAACATGATGATGACCAACGCTTCGGAGGAATACATGTGCCGCTGGTTCCTCTCCACCTTGGAAGGGCTAGCGTATGATTGGTTCAACAACCTTCCGGAAGGGAGCATTGACTCATGGCAGGACTTAGCTCAGCGCTTCCTCACCCACTTTGCCGGGAGGAAGCGTGCGAAGAAGCATTTCGCCCATCTCCTGACCATAAAACAACAATCGGAGGAGACGCTCCGCGCCTTCCTCGATCGCTGGACGAAGGAGGCGGACGAGTGCGAAGGAGCCGATGAACGCACCCTCCTGGCCTTCCTCCGCGGAGCACTTCGGCCGAGCCACTTCGCCCGAAGTCTGTTCACGGAGCCCCCGTGGTCATACCTCGCGGTGCTCCGACGCGGAGACAGGCACGCTGACGCCGACGAGCTCCTGAACCAAAAGAAGGGTGGGGAGAAGCAACAAAAGAAGGACTCCTCGTCCAACCCCCCACCACCCGCCGGCCAACAAGGGACAACACCGGCCAAAGAAGGCACACCAGGAGCAAGGCGGACAGCGAAGAGAGGATCGTTCATGGCGTCCAAAGTTGGAGGCACAACGCATCCCCCTCACCCACCCGGTGAGCGTCGTCCTTGACCACGCCGAGGCACAGGGCCTCATTGTGAAGGACCCCAGGTCAGAGGAGGAGATATTTGCGATCCACAAAGGAGGGACATACTGCAAGTACCACCGCCAGACATCCCACAAGACCGAGGATTGCACCACCCTGAAGAGGCACATCGACGGCCTCGTCCGACAGGGGGAACTTTCCCAATTTGTCAAGGGTGCCCCCAAGAGTAACACTTGGGTTAACCCTGGCAAAAGGGGGGAAGGATCCTCCGGGAAAAAGAGGGAGATCGGCGCCCTCAGTGAAGATGAGGACGAAGAGGAGCCCCGCCAGAAGAAGCATCACATTCACATCATCGTCGGCGGGAACACAGGGGGGACTCGGCTACCCAACGGAAGAAATGGGCTCAGTCCCTGTACGTCGGCGAGGTGTCCCACGCCCCCCCTCAGCCGAAGCGACGGCATGTGGAAGCCATCACTTTCACCGACAAGGACCTCCCCTTCGGCCCCTTGCCCCACAGGGACGCCCTCGTCGTCAAATGCGAGATTGGCAACAACATCATCCACCGCAACTACATCGACACGGGCAGCTCCGTCAATGTAATGTACGTTGACACCTTCAGACAACTAAAACTGAAGAAGACCGAGCTCCGGCCAATACGGACTCCGTTATCCGGCTTCACCGGGGACTCTATCGACGCCGAGGGCACGATAGTGCTTCCCGTTGTGGTCGGTGACGGTACCTATCAGGCGAAGATTGATATGGAGTTCGTGGTCGTCAACCTGGACAGCGCCCACAACATGATCTGGGGCCGACCGGCCTTGGAGGACCTTGAGGCCATCATCTCTATAAAGCATCTGTGCCTCAAGTTTCCCACCAAGGACGGCGTCGGCTACGCCAGAGGGAATCAGAAGATAGCCAGGGCTTGCTACCTCAAGCTCACCAGGAAGATCAATGAGGCCGAGGAGCGGATAGACACTATCACCACCGCCTCGGCCGAAGAAGACACACCAAAGGCCGAACCGGTCGGAGACGTGGAAGAGGTTCCGTTGGACGTCTCTCGACCAGAACGCACGCTGAAGATCGGGACCCAGCTTCCCCAAGACAACCGAAGGGACATCCTCTCTGTCCTGAGAGCGTACGCCATCGTCTTTGCATGGGGACCAGAGGACATGCCGGGCATCAGCCCGAAGGTAATCACACATCGGCTATCGGTGAACCCGGCCTCCTCCCCCATCAAACAGAAGAAGCGCTACCTCTCAGCCGACAGGAGGGAATTTGTCAAGGACGAAGTGGCCATGCTGCTATCCATCAAGCACATCAAAGAGGTGAAATACCCCACGTGGTTGGCGAACGTCGTCCTCGCCCCAAAGCCGCCTACGTTCAGAATGTGTGTTGATTACACTGACCTGAACAAGGCGTGCCCGATGGACCCATTCCCTCTCCCCAACATTGATCAGTTGGTGGACGAGACGGCAGGGTGCGAGTTGATGTCGTTCCTCGACGCGTTCAGAGGGTACCACCAAATATCAATGCATGAAGATGACGCGGAGAAAACTGCTTTCATGACCCCGGAGGGAATCTTTTGTTACCTCGTCATGGCCTTCGGCCTCAAGAATTCCGGTGCCACTTACACAAGAATGGTAGCCCGGATTTTTAGAGCAGTCCTAGGCCGGACGATGGAAGCATACGTCGACGACATGATCGTCAAGAGCAAACAATCCGCAACACATGCCGACGACCTCCGGGGCATCTTCGAGATCATGAAGAGATACAACCTCCGGCTCAACCCGAAGAAATGCACCTTCGGCGTCCAGGGAGGTAGATTCTTGGGGTACCTGGTCAGCCGGAGGGGCATCGAAGTAAACCCCGAGAAGATACAAGCCATTATCAACATGGAGCCGCCCCGCAACATAAAGGAGGTGCAACGGCTAACGGGACGCCTCGCGGCCCTGAACCGTTTCCTTTCAAAATCCGCGGAAAAATCACTCCCCTTCTTCCAAATAATGAGGAA